AATGTAAGTCATGTCAGTGCAATAGCTCAGTATATGACTGAGCTATACGGCTAAGCAGCTCCCACTACAAGTCTCTTAATACGGTTATGGTTTAGAGCATTTAGTATTTATGATCCCTCAAAAGCCTGGCCTGTGAAAGTAGTACTGCAAAATGTAGAGAAGATAAAGATATTTTTCTCCATCAGTCATATATGCTGCACAGTTTCTTAGACATTTTGAAAACACAATTAAAGAATGTCTAGACAAAGAGAATGAAGATGGATGTGAAGCTTTAAACACATTACAAGTGGAAGGGCTGAGGAAATGAAGATTACAGGCTAATGTGTTTTCAAATGTATTATTTTCTTCCAGCAGCTGTTTTTTTTTTTTTTTTTTAGAAATTTGGCAGTTTTTAACATCTAGTGAACATGGATGCATTTTTGTAAAATACATGGATGCACACATTAAAGACAGATTAGATGTTATGATTGGATTTGCAGGAATAATATATTCAGTGTATAGTAAACAGTGCATTCAGGAAGTATTCAAACCCAATTTACTTTTGTCTGTCTGACTGAGCTCCAGAGATCCTGTGTGGAGATGGAACAGAATTCCAGAAGGACAACCATTTTTGTAACCCTCCACCAGTCTGGGCTTTATGGAAGAGTGGCTAGACAGAAACCTCTCCTCAGTGCAAAACGTATGAAAGCCCACTTTGAGTTTGTAAAAAAGAACTTGAAGGACTCTCAAGTCCTTGTGAGCAACAAGATTCTTTGGTCGAATGAAATCAATTGGCCTCAATTCTAAATATTGTATCCGGAGGAAACCTGGCACTGCTTATCACCTGCCCAATATCAAGCCAAAAGTGAACCATGGTGGTGGCAGCATCATGCTGTGGGACTGTTTTTCAGCAGCAGGGACTGGGAGACTGGTCAGGGTTGAATGAAAGCTGTATGGAGCAAAGTACAGGGATATCCTCAATGAAAACCAATTCCACAGTGCTCAGGACTTCAGACTGGGCAGAAGGTCACTTTCCAACATGACAATGATCCTAAGCATAAGCCAAGAAGATATTGGAGTGGCTTAGGGACAACTCTGTGAATGTCCTAGGGTGGCCCAGCCAGAGCCCTGCCTTGAACCCTATTGAACATCTCTGAAGGGACCTGAAAATGGTTGTCCACCAGGGGTGAAATCCAACAGGTTCTGACAGGTTCTGGAGAACTAGTAGTGGAAATTTTGAGTAGTTCAGAGAACCAGCAAATACCACCTCTGGTTGGCCCCAGAGTGGGGTGGGAATGGAGATTTTGTAGTATCCTTCCCCTGGAGTGGGGTGGGAATGGAGATTTTGTAGTATCCTTCCCCTGGAGTGGGGTGGGAATGGAAATTTTGCAGTATCCTTCCCCTGCTACGCCCACCAAGCCATACCATGCCCACCAAGCCACACCCACAGAACCGGTAGTAAAAAAAATTGGATTTCACCACTGTTGTCCACCAATGGTCACCATCCAACCTGACTGAGCTTGAGAAGATTTGCAAGGAAGAATAACAGAAAATTCTCCAATCCAGGTGTGCAAAGTTTGTTGCATCATACCCAAAAGGACTTGGGTATGCTGCCAAACATGTTTCAACAAAGTACTGAGTAAAGGGTCTGAATACTTATGCCTATATGATAGTTCAGTTTTTTCTTTTTAGTAAATTTGCAGACATTTCTAAAATTTTCTTTTCACTTTGTCATTATGGGGTACTGAGTATAGATCAATGAGAAAAGATGAATTTCAACAACTGTAGAATCAGGCTGCAGCATAACAAAATTGAAAAAAATGAAGGAGGTCTGAATACTTTCTGAACGTGCTGTGTATCTTTCATTACTAACACTGAGCAGCTTAAACATTTACAATTTTTAATGAGCAATTTTATGGAAATGATAAAATATGGTTAAATTTTACAATTACAATGTAATCATAATAATTTGATTCAAAAAAATCAACTTTCACTAGTAAGTAGGTAGGGAAGATTAATGCTTATGAAGTTGAAATCAAAATGGATTAAAAGGACTCCTCAATGTAATTTTTAGTATGATGACATTAACTGTTGTCTTTGGTGGATGAATTTAATTTGTTAATGGATACATTGATTTCTATAGGTAAATGGGTGATCCAAATTTCTTGAATATAAATTCTTACATTTAAAGAGTATATGAAAAGCTTCATTTGTCAAAGAACATCATACATTGGCCACTATGATGAACTGCAACTTTTACTAGATATAATTCATATTACTGTATATTGGATGAATGACTATAGATAATGTTTTATAAATGTATGGAATAAAGGGCATTCTGCCCAGAATTTACATGCGGGTTTAATCAAACCTTATGCTACCTAAGCACACATCTAATATCAAGTAAGTAATATAATCCATGTATGTTTTGACACAACAAAATATAGAAGCAATGAAAAGCATATATCAATGTTTAATACTTTCATAATATCAGGAATGGAAGCAATTGGGTTTACATTAGGTTAAATTATTAAAACATTTATGTTTTAGCCTTAAAGACAATCTACTCTCTGTTTAATATAAAATTGCGTGAAAGGGAAAAAAGCACATAAAATGTTATAATTATTGCCAATATGGTAGAAAAAAAAGCAACCCTCATCTCTGTATTTCCATTTTTTACTTAATAAACCACAACAACAAAAAACAAAATTGAGATTAATATACTACAGTAAGGGAAGACCTAGCTAGAGTAGATATGAAAACATATAGGTGCTCAGCTTCAAAACACTAAGCTCCATACCAAGTATTAATTTAGAAGAATGGGATAATAAACATTTTTTTTACATTTTTGCACTAGCAGTGGGAAATCAATTGATGGGTATTGCTTCTTTGTCATATATAATGAAGATTTGAATTTAACCTATCTATGTCTATGAGTCTTCTGCTGAATTAAGATGAGGAGTTGAATTAAATCATAATGTTGGGAGATTTGAGATTTACTAACTTTAACTATTCCCTCTTCTACATCCACTGGGCCTTTCTTGAATATATTGTCTCACGTATACAACACTTTTTTGTACTTAAAAGATAGTCATAATGCTTTCATAGATCCTTCAGTTTCTGAAGCCATAGATACTGACTACGGAATAATTCAGACCTGCGTTTCTTCCATTTTGTGACATTTTTACTTTCCTGTTGCATGTTATAGATAAAACTTGGAAGCATATGTGAATGTATCTTTGCATTTAAGAACTTATATGTGAGTTTTATAAATATCTGATGGCACAGGTTTTTTTAATTAGACACAATTAAATGATACCTTTGGGATACAAATTATGTTCTAGACTCTAAGCCATAATTACTATATTGACAAATCCATATATTTATAGCATTTACATCACAGTTTTTCTCTAGGAGGTGAGGGTGAGATATGAAATTCTTGCATAACTTGATCTTTGAAACAGAATTTTAGGTACAACAGAGATGAAAAAAAATAAAACAATGAGTTTTGTGATGAAGTGGGGATTTAGATCTAGATATTCCAAGTCCAAATTTAATGACTACACAATATGTTCACAGAATTCACTGTTACCCACTGCTCTCCTGGAATTTGACTTCTGATAAAGAATAACCTGGATAGAATAGGATCGGTTGAAAATGAGGGCCTTTACTAACACAACAACACTGCCCACTTTAGTAACAAAATATGAACATTACTGTAATGTTGAATCTCTAAAATTCAGTATCAGGTTGTATTTATTAGCAAATATTTTCCTAGCATTCCAATTCTGAGAATTGCCTCAGTCATTAGCATTAAAATTCAGAGAATGAAACCAAAATATTAATTGTTTTGTGTAAAGGTATTCCTTGCATTAGACTAGTTCAAGATTCTTAACAGTAAAGATAAAGCCATCGTGATATTATTTTGTCACATCAGAAAACTATAGTTGTAGCAAACATGAATTAAATCCAAATTTTATCATATCCATCAAATAATATGTGACATTATGTGCATTGTTATGTATATAAAATTTGGAAAAATATTTCACAATGATGCACATATAGAAAATATGAAAAATTACAACAACAGGCCAACTATCTGCTCTAAGTAAAGTCTTGAAACCAAGTGCATTTGCAATATACTGAATATATTTCTTTTGGGTGGAATTTCATTAAAAATAAAACCATAACTGGTATCTCACACACACAAAAAAAACTCTTAACAGAAGCTAGACTATATTTATATATGTATATATAATCTTAGTCATATGCTAATGGAAAATGTGTTTCAGCTAATTGAAGAAAACAGATCACTGTGATATTTTTTTAATCATGAAAAGAAATAAAGAGACATAGATACCACCTATGTGTGTATGAGTTCATGCATATAGATATTTATCTTACAAATTGATCAGTATATTAGCAAGAAGCAACTAGTTAGTGTCTAATGTTTTGCAAGTTTTAACAGGGCTGTTTTACACTTCTGAAAAAGCTTAAAAGCAGTGAGAAATCATGCTGACCTTCAGAGACTAGCAAACACACTCGTTCATAGTGTTCAAAATCTAGAAATATAATTCAATTGTAGCAAGAGGTGCATTTTTCTAAGTAGTAGTATATCTTACATTTTATCTTCCTTCCTTTCGTTCAAAATACAAATACAACTGTATATGTTAACACATTTACAAATATAAGAAGAAATATTCCAGTAAAGTTTTATTTAGTGCAAGTCATTGGGATGAATTAATTATAAAGAGTGATTATAAGGAAGCTTTCTACTGGGGGGAAATATAGAAGTCACTGAGTTACAATAAAACTTAGTGCAGCCATCTTGAATTGATATTACAAATTGTGTTTTACTTACAATTGGAAACAGAACATTTGTTGTTAAGTGGTGGGATTATTAAGTAAAGCTATCTGATCTTACACCTTTTTCTGTTGTGGTAGTTAAGTAAATCATCATGTTCATTAAGCGAGACATCACAGTATTGCCATTCTTAACTTTCCTGTTGGTTTCTTCATAGATATTGATATCAGAAGTTGGCTGGGAAGGTCTCAAAAAGCAATAATTTGACCCTGGAACACTACAGCCATCATAAATTCATGCTGATTGCCAAATCTCAGAATTGCAGTCACATTACTGCAGGAAAACTTTGACTATCATAAATGTGAGGACTGGTTGTAAGTTACCTTTTTAGTGCAATGGCAACTTCAAATGATTGCTAAATGAATGGTCAAGATAACCTTTATTACACCACATAGCCTGTGAGTTCTGCACCAAAACAGCCACAAAAAGACACTATGCTTAACAATATGAATTGGTTTCATAATCAATTTTCTAACTTTAAAAAACAAAAAAAGTCACAAAGAAGCTATATTAACCTTCCACAATTCCTTAAAGTATTTTGGTGTTAACTTCTTGAGCCATTGTATCTTGGAATTATGGAAGTAAAGTGGAAAATTACAGGAAAAGAAGTTGAGCAAAACTGGATTCCAACAAGATTATTTAGTTGACTTTACAAAACATGGATCAAGTCTTTATTCCTTAGAATACAAGAGTAACGAAGTGGTGCAGTCATAAAAAGGTATAGTCATAATTTTGAATCTTAGACTCCGAAATGTTCCAACATGACAAAGCATTATCTTCACCAAACCACATTAACTGTCATAAAAAGGGTCCCTATACTTAAATCAATGCAAAAAAAATAAAAGTTAAAATACATCATATAGGTTTAATGGTTTAAGGTTGTAGGCAGATACTTGAAAATAAGTCTCATTTAATCCAGTGAAGCTCATTTGCTGAATGAATAGCCAAACACATTTTTTTTTTACTATCAGAAAAAACCTCTCAGTAATGGTAAGTATAAATGAAATCAGGAACTAATGATTTTTAAAGAGAGAGAAGGAGAGAAGTTGCTGGGGAAAGAGGAATAAGAGGGGAAAACAATCACTTACCTAGAACCCCTAGCCTGTAGTTGATGGTTACAACAATGACATTTCCGTAGCTTGCCAGTATGCTGCCATCAACTATATTCCCTGTACCTTCCATATATGATCCACCATGAATATAGACCATCACTGGTTTCTTGCTGTTCTGATCATGTATATCTGAAAAGAATACAAGTAAGGAAAACACAAGAAAGTAATACAAGTATTAAATTTAAAAATCATAGTCTTTTTATTTTTACTTCCAAAGAGCTAATTTTGCATATTTTTTCATTTCAAATGTATTTCTTATATGATCACCTCTATTTCTCTTTGGTTATAAACAATAACATAAAGCAAATATGATTTCTGGAAGAACTTTGGAAAAAAATACTTAAAGTATCATTTATACAGAATACAGTTGATTGTAGGACTGAAAAGGTAACAGAATATGCCCAATACTCAAATACGCAAACAACATAAAAATAGATTTTTTAGCTGTTAGAAAATCCACAGTGCAATATTCATTTCCAATATTCAGTTAGCTTATTAAACAAGGTTTTCTGCAATTTATGAAATAAAGAATGTATGTAGTTTGAACACAACAAACTGACATTCTTACTACCCCTCTCACCATCAACTAACATTCAAAGTACAAAAAAATCTAGGCAGAATATAATTTTTTTGACAGATACTTTATTCCTTCTTTCAAAGCACATTATATGTCCATGTAACATAAGCTACTTAGAGACACCCAGGAGTTCAACAGTACATTGTGTAATAAATATGTTTTGCCATTGACTTCTTTTAGAATGTTCTTTTCAACTTCTAACTCTACTTTACTGGTAATCCTCCATCCAACAACTAACCATATCCAACCCTGCTTAGCTTTTCCATCTCTACTACCATTGGCAATTAATACAATGAATCACATAGTCAGCAAAATGATTTGTGCCAATTAAAAAATACCAATTTAAACAGCACTTATTCCCCGAGTTGCCTTTACAGAACAATTTCTCTTACATATTCTTGACCATTAACGTCTCCCAATGTACCAGGCACAATCATGCTAGATCAAGCAAGCCCTGGTATCATTCAAATGTACTGCCATTGGTTTGAATGACTATATTATACTACAAAGAGCAGCATAATAAATCAAGATCAAGACACATTTCACAATCTATTCCAAATAACCATACAACTGATTGCTAAGCACTGCAAAGAGTTGGCTTTGCTGGTTTGAACATCTTTCTTTGAAGATTTATTTGCTTTTGCAATTGATGAACTTATTAACTAGAAGTAACTTTGGATCACAATCAAAAGGAACGAAGATGTATTTGTCTGGATAATATATCACCAGATAATTGTTCAGATCTGATATCTTTACTTAGCTACAGATTGAAATAATGTTTTTTTTTCAGAAATATCACATATTGTAATATGCTGTTATTATATTTATGTAAGAATTTTCAGTGGGAGGTGAAATAGTCTTATAACTAGAATTAAGTTGTTTCTGGGATCCCACAATCCTATATTTGAATATGGAATAAACACCTAGTTTCATTATATTTGAAAATAGTTGAAGACTGCAAGGAAAAATAAGATAACTGTTGCATTACCCAAGAAGCAGATATTTTAGCAGCTACATTTCTAAAAAATAGAAATCATCCTGAATCTTGAGAAGTAGGATATTAAAAGGTGATCCCACCATACTATACACATTTCTGAATGGAATTGAATAAAAGACAAATTGGTAAAATATGTGTAGAATGTATTAGATATGAAAATTGATATGAAAAATCAGGTGAGAGTCCTAAAACAAGACCATACCAAGAGAAGCTGTCAAAAGTACACATTCCTAAAACAAATGGGTATTTCAATTAATTTTACATTTATGGCATAAGTTTCAACCCTAATTTCACATGGATCCTCTAAAGGCTTCATAGCTCATCATATCACCCCACGGAAAGGTAACCATAGATAGAAAATACTGGTACTTTTACAATGCCACTCAGTGCAAACTTCTATCATGAAATGTAAGGTTGGCTGTGTTTATTTTAAATCTGTAAAACCATCACAATATATCAAAGACATATATTTTAAAAAGGTTCTGGCTGAATTGCTTTTTTTTACAGAAATTTGAAAAAGTATGCAGGTAAAAAAAATAAGACTAGTCTACTATAATGTATATATCTTTCTGACTTATTTTACTTAGAGAAAGGCATTTTTGCATAGTACAATATAATGGTCTGCAAGAATTAACTAAATCCATAGGAAAGTTCCAAATCCCTTGCATTTGATAATTATCAAGTAATTTAAAGAATATCCCTAAAAATTAAAAATATATACCTACCAGTTTGTCATAGCTGATACTGCCTGAGCAGCTGTAATCATAACATCCCACGGATGCTATTAAAATATTTACAGAAATAGGTTTCCTTGTAATTTTACAATAACGTGCAAGTTATAGAATTCCATATAGGACAGATATCATTTGTTGACTATTGTATAAACTCACAAAATAGCTTTTCAAGAGAAATGCGGGAATAAATGGTGGAGGCAATTTTGCCCCAATTACATGCAAAAGAAGGAAGCTTCAAAAAATAAAACAAAGCAAGTTAAAAGCATCAGTGAATTTCCTTGACTTGTTACATATTGAAGGTAAGAAAAAAAGAAAAAAGAAACCCAAGAGGAATGAAATTGCATCCAGTATAAGGGAAAGAGAAGAAAAATAATGTGAAGGTGAATTTACAAACTACTAAAAGAGAAAAGAAAAAGAAAATATACAGAACATGCAAGGTTTCGGTTCCATTTCTTTTCTTCCCACTTAAAAGTTGGGAATTGGAATAAGCATCTGATTGTAAATAACATTTATGTTACTCACTTCACAGATATTATAGATAATTTGAACTCTTATCTCAAATAGGAATTGCAGTAATCTAAATGCTAATTTGTGTTTTAGAAAAAAAGGAAGGTGGATTTTAGATAAGACAAAAATAAAACACCACACCAAAACGTGTGTGATTAAATAAAGGAGAGGAAAATTTTTATGTTCATGCATATCAGGACTGCGGGTTTTTTTGGGGGGGAAAACAACAACAAAAATACCTTCATCTTCCCCACGATCAGTACTGGTTATATCATCTGCGCTTTTCTTTGTGTTGGCTCCTAGGTTCAAAGGGAGCAGAAGAATAAAGGGAAAAAAGATAATTTGAAAATGACAAATTCCCCAAAATTTAAAGAAAACGATCCGGAAATTGCAAAAGAAAAAAAAATGTAATACACACAAAAAAGTCAACATTTGTACTGGAAAAATAAAGGTTGCAAATTCCATAGAAACATAAATTTAAAAATATTCCAACATTTTTTAAAAAATGCTAGTGGGAAAAAACTGTTATCTTGTGTTAATGCTGTTAGTTTGACTAAATTTGATTGGTAAAAAATGAAATTGATATGTATATATTTCTTTTTTACATTGAGAGTTCCATTTTCAGTACATGCTAGATCAAATGGACTTTTATGAAAGCTGTTTAAGAAATGGAGACATGATGAAAACAACTATGAAATTCAATATAAGTTATTCAAGATATATTTTAACCCTAACCACACTGAACCTGGATCCCAAGAAATACAAGAAGTTGCCATCAATATTTCATGGCAAACCTACAGTATTTGAAAATAAGAAAAATTTCATAGACAGTTTATTAGCTATTATTTGGGTTTGCTGTTCAAAGGGGAAAATTCTACTGTGTGAATCAACAATTAGAATTGAATAATGTTCTCCAACAAATTCCATACATTATCCTTAAGACTGATTTTTTGTTGTTGTTCTGTTCAGTCTGATTCTCAGAGACTGCATGGACAAATCCCTGTAGGTTTCTTGGCAAAGCTTTTTCAGAAGTTGCTTGCCATTGCCACCTTTCTAGGACTGAGAGAAAGTGACTGGCCCAAGGTCACCCAGCTGGCTTTGTGGCCAACATGAGATTAGGACAGATTCTTAGATCCTAGCCTGATGCCACTATAGCAAAGTGGCTTTTGTTATCATAATAATTGCTAATAGATCAATATGAACATATAGTCAATTAGCACTTTATACAATCGACAACTTGTAGGTCAAAATCTATTTTACAAAGCTGATTTCAGACAAAAACACATCTGAATATGAACAAATAGTATTCACATGTTTAACACACTGCATTTTGAAAAGATGTGAATTAACCATGACAACCAAAACACAATTAATCACATGCACCCAATCCCCTAAAAACAGCACCTTATATAAGGTGGAGAATTTTGTATAATTCTATTGCATTGAAACATTTCAAAAAGAAACTATAGTCCTTGATAGACAATTATGACAATTTCTTCCAATCTAATGCTTTATATCTTTGTTAAAGCTTTCCATAAGAAACACCCAGCCTTACTCTCTCTTCTTATAGATGGATTTATCTGTGTGTACATTTTAAACTTTAATCTTGAACCAAACAGACTTTTATGTAGCAAAAAAACTGAAATCTATCTGCCTCATATAGCCTTTTTTTTTTTTTTAATTTGATTTATATGCCGCCCTTCTTCGAAGACTCAGGGCGGCTTACAATGCGTTAAGCAATAGCCTTCATATTTTTGTATATTTATACAAAGTCAGCTTATTGCCCCCACAACTGGGTCCTCAATTTACCTATCTTAGAAAGGATGGAAGGCTGAGTCGACCTTGAGCCTTGGAGAGATTCGAACCAGCAGTAAATTGCAGGCAGCTGTGTTAATAACAGGGTGTGTAGACCACTGTACTATCAAGGCTCTTTTAATGGAATTTCATTTCTATATTATCAAAGAGATGACATGAATGGACTGCTTTAGTGCCACACATCAACCTACAATGCCAACATTAAAAACCTGAAAAGGAACATGAATGTGGAATATACAAACAGGTATATAATTTACTGGGGATGCAATGCTTAGAATGCAGAATTGCAGGCAAACTCTGCCTACATCCTGGAGTTCAATCCTGATGGAGTTCAAAGTTGACTCAGCTTTCCATCCTTCCGAGGTTGGTAAAATGAGGACCCAGATTGTTGGGGGTAATATGCTGACTTTGTAGACCATCCAGAGAATGCTGTAAAACACTATGGGGTGATATATTATATATATCTATATAAAAGTGCTATTGCTATTATTTTTAATAATATACAATGCTTTTGTCTTATGTAGAAGATAGGCATTGTATAATATTTTTGTTGTATAAATTGGCAACAGTATTCAACCTCTGAAGATTTCCAAATATTTTATACTGAAATAAAAATATAATCCAATATATAAAAATCAAAACCAATTTGTTCAGATATAGCATTGTGTTCAATCATAATTTTATTTTTGCCATTCATAAAGGTATTTTGAGTTTACCTCTGATCAGAAAAAAAAATTCTTGCTGAAACAGTTTAAGTCTTTGGATCATTATGAAAATATATATTAAATATGTGCATAGCAAAAGGGAAGTAAAAACATTCACTTTAAAAACAAATCCAAATAACAGGATAACGCAATATGGGACTGAAGCATTTTTTTAAATCATGGGGATTGCAATGTCGGTTTGAGGATTTTTAGGTACAATCCAGTCCAGCCCTGATTACCAGAATCAGACAGAGCACCTTCAGATCTGCTCAGAGGAAGCTGGCAGTGGGAATAGTGACATGCCAGCATACATTCATTATCTTCTGTAGCATTACTGAGAAACATTTCCCCAATAAATAGCAGCTCAGTCAGAAATACTTGCTTATAAAGAACTTTCACTTCATTAATATGGCTAAAATAGGATGGATATATAGACACCAGTATTATTTAATATGTATGTCATTGGATACTCCTGATTTTACTTTTTCTTTTGTTGTAATTGTTGTTTGAAAGCCACCCATGGATATGGTGCATAAGATGGGCAGCTAATATTAGTCGAACAAACAAACAAATCAATAAGCAAGCAAGCTATTAAAAGGACCTTCAGGAAATTTGTGGACTACTAGGAGACTACAGCTATTGTGCTTTTTTCTTAAGTGAAGATTGTCTATGATGGATTATCCTTCTTTTATTGAGTGAGATAAGGCACTCCAGTTTCAATATTGTTTTGTGTGTATGCTTTTATCATAGAGTGAATCTGACAAAGCTAAATAAGCCGCTTAGAACTGGGGTTGAAAAAGCCTATAAAGTGACAGGAGAGACAAACCAGAAACTGCAGGGAAAAGTCAACCGACTCCTTTGTTCTAAAGATCCCAGTTGCTTTTTATAAATAGAAGGATATGGAATATCAGGATCAAAGCTAAAGTTGAGAAGTAATTGCATCCGATATTAAGAAAGCTTAGTCCAGGAAACTAGTACACCCCCAACTAAAGTCATGTTTTCTAATCTACCATCTTAGTGTGATGTACTACTGTTTTTGGGTGGTATATATGCATTGTTGCATTGGGAGCCAACACTTCAAAATTTAACATTACAGGAACAATTTATTTTTACAATTTTTACATTAATTTATCATTTCTTTGCTGCTTTTCTTTGCGTAGTCATGTGGAACTTCTTTTAGGAAAATGAAAAATGAGTGTGTGTCTTTTTGTTGGTTGGTCTGTCTGTCTCTTTCTGTCTATATAAATTTGTTATAAAATGAGATACATTTTAAATTACCCTGTTGATAAAATTATAGTGTGAATTTCTGTAGAAAATACAATAATACTCAAACAAATAAACCAACCATAATGGGTGTCTTAAGCAGTTTCTATTAATATGTGTGCCAAACATGCTATTACAGCATTTTTAATTGTGTTTTAATAGCCTGATAATGCTTATTTATCTTTTGTTATATACTATTTATTGCTCAAGAATCAGAGATTGCATAGCTTTTTATTAGTACTGTTTAGTAATCAATGCATTGGGCAGTTATTCAGTATAACTAATATTTAATTTTTAATTTTTACTACTTCTCTCATTTCATTTTTATTCCCAAAGTAACCTTTGACAGTGAGATCATTTTCTCATTACTGTTAATTTATCTGCATTCTATTTTTGTGGATCTAATAATTATTCTTAATGTGGTTATATTGTTATTGTTTGGTTAGACCTCACTGTTCACATATTTAATTAAATTTCTAATTTGTTTTCAAATTCTCATAACCATATCATTTTACAGAAAGAAAATACAATGATTTCTCTGTTATTTATCATATCTTTGTCATCCCCTTTCCAATGCCTCTGTATTTTAAAAAGACAGGCTTAAGAAATGTGTACATTTCTATACTGCTTATTGTTCAGAATACATGATAAATTTCATATAATATTAATATAATTATTTTGCAATCCTATTCTTAGTTAATAATATTAATAAGCACATGAAATCCAATGTAAGTAGGATTATGTTATTATAAATGTGTGTGTGTGTGTGTGTATTCACAATGGTGTCTTGGTATTCAATGTTAATTGATACCAGGAAGCATGACGAGTACTAAAAAAGATGAGTATAAAACAAACCATGTGACTTAACATGTGATGTTATTTTATTTATTTTTTTTGGCCAGAAAAGACTTCCTATCTGCCCTTCTCTATGGCAGAAATCTTCCCAACATGTCCAAATTCCTGTCCACGCTCTACAGCCAATCCCCACCTCTTTTTATAGTGATCTTCCTGGCTTGGCTAACTTCCTGTCCATTCTCCGTGGCCATCCCCCTCTTCCTATTACAGTGTGTTGAGTACCAAGAAATGAGAAGTTTCAGGATATTTTTGCCTCAAAATGCATCAAGTACCAAATCCGATGAGTTTTGAAGCCCTTGAGTATTGAGGTACCACTCTGAGTGTCTGTGTGTATGTGTGTGTGTAACATAGATACAGTACTGTGCAAAAGTGCTAGGCAGTTGTGCAAAAATGCTGTAAATTAAGAATGTTTTCAGAAATTGGCTTTATAAATGGTAGACAAATGAAGAGTAATGTAAGGCATATTGTTAACCTATTAGAGTATTTGGGAAGGAACAACCAGGTCCCCACAGTGCTTGTGTTCTTGGATGCTGAGAAAGCCTTTGATAGATTGAATTGGCAATTTTTATTAAAACTAATAGAAAGGATGCAATTTGGAGAACAATTTGTACAATCTATTAAGGCAATATATCAAAAACAAACAGCGCAAATAATAGTTAATGGTGGTTTAACAGATGCTTTTAACATAGAAAAAGGAACAAGGCAAGGCTGTCCTTTGTCCCCGTTATTGTTTATTTTGACACTGGAAATTTTATTAAACAAGATACGCGAGATGAATACAATTAAGGGAATTAAAATTAGACAGCATGAATACAAGGTACGAGCATTTGCGGATGACC